CGGGGGCGGGAGCTCCTCCTAGGGCTTTGTCCCGGTGGCGGTAGAAGACCCTGAGAGCGGCGTGGGCGCCCGGGCTCTTTTGCTATGTAGAGGGCCGAAGCTCAGAAAACTGCCTGGAACGCTTTCTCCCGAGAAAAGCAAACAAAACTATCGCGGTCGCGGCCCGCGCATCCCCCTCGTCCCCTGGGCGCGCAGAAAGCTCTCTGGGCCACCTGCCCCCAAAAGAACGCTGGGTTTCCAAAGCCTTCAAGACACACCCCCAAGGAGCCTTCGTCCGTCGTCCCCCTCTCTCCCTGCCTCTCCCGAGTCTGGCCTGGGCCATCTAACACTCTCACCAAATAACCTTATCATCCTCTCAGGACAGTCCGCTAAATATTGCTCGCTCTCGCCCAGCGTATCACAAGAGCGCTATCCGCTCAGAAAAAAAAATCTCCATAATACATGCACCCAGGAAACCTCTACAGGTACTGTATATCTTGCCCCAATAGTTTCCACCAAAGCACCTTGCTCTGTGTCTTCAATAAAGGAAAACTGCATGAAATGCCCTATATAAGATACCAGTGATGCCCTACAATAAGCATTTTTTAAGCACTAAAAGCTAAGAGTTCTTGAGACCCGTGCCAAGCATTCTTCTAAGTATGTAACATGCGTTGTCTCCAATCCTAACAATGCTTTGAGGTAGGAGCCATTATCCGCAGTTTACAGGGGGTGAAAGAAAGGCAAAGGGAGATGGGGTGATTTGCCCAAAGTCAGGCAACTCTGGAATCTTAACTCTGGAGCACTAAACGGGATTCATCATGTTGGCTTCAGGTTCACTCATTACTCATACAAACCCAGCAACTAAATATTACATGCTTGTAAGATAATCACATTCATCTACATAAAGAGTGATGATGAACGGTTGCAAAAGGAGGTGAAAGCAAAGTAAGAGTGGAGGAAATGAAAGAGCGGAGAAGGGTGGAGAATCAAGAGGAAAGAACGCAATAGAAGAGAAAAGAAGCGATTTCTGTGTAGCGGGAGGCGGTGAGACCCGCAGATCGGTGGGTCTTTCCAGTTCCTTCCCTCTCTTCTTCTGCATGGCACCTCTTCCGGAACTGTTTCTCCGTGGCCAGGTGTTCAACACACATGCGTTTTCTAAGTTAGAAAGCAGGACTCAACTCTCATCATTGTGTACCTGGTTAAGAAAGAAAAAAAAAGACAATTGTTGACCGGGCACAGTGGCTCAAGCCTATAATCCCAGCACTTTGGGAGGCCGAAGCAGGTGGATCATTTGAGGTCAGGAATTCAAGATTAGCCTGGCCCACATGGTGAAACTCCATCTCTACAAAAAAATACAAAAATTAGCCAGGCGTGGTGGTGCACACCTGTTATCCAAGCTACTTGGGAGGCTGAGGCAGGAGAATTGCTTAAACCCAGGAGATAGAGGGTGCAGCCACTGCATTCCAGCCTGGGCAACAGAGACTCCATTTCAAAAAAAAAAAAAAAAGACACTTGTTGATGGCGTGGGAGGAAAAGCAAATGACAGTGCCCTTCCAAAACTTCCACTAACAGGCTGTCTGGATGTGTTTTCCATTGCTTCACAAACCAGACAAGGTTCCTTCTAAACGCCAGTGATCACAACAGCATATTCTCATGTGATTGTCTGATCTGAAAATAAAACAAAAGAATATTCTCTTGTGATTGTCTGATCTAAAAATAAATAAATAAAAGGAGAAAACACTCCAAATGTGCAGCTACCATAAATTCCAGCTTTGTAGAGAAGCGGATGATAATGACTACAACATCCGACCTATCTTTCCTTATCTCACACTCCAGGCGGGAAGCCCCTTCTGTGTGCTCCTGTGGCATCTGACCTCTGACACGTTGATGAATGATGATGAACTGCTGAAGAGAAAAGAGATGGAACCTGCAACTGCAGGTTGCTAACCTGCCTTTCCAGGAAGCCCCTGGCCATTCCTCACTGTATGAACTGTAAGCATAGTCCTTCCAAAGGGATCATAAGACTTGGACTAGATTGCCTGCACTTCCCTCTCCTTTGGATCAGACTAAGAACAGAGTTTGCCTCTGTGACTTTCCTTTTTTCTAAATTTCCATAGTGGCCCAGCACCTATGCTCTATCCTGCCCCATTTTTCTGATTGATATACTTTTGTCACTTGTCACTTTTGTCTGATTTCAGGCATGTCTTGCACACTCTCACACTTTAAGATGTTGCTTAGTTGAACTTTGGTCCTTAAATGTTGGTATTTAATGTAAAGAAGATAAACTTATTTTCTTGTTTTTTTTTTTTTTTTTTTTTTTTTTTTTTTTTTTTTTTTTTTTTTCCTGAGACAGGGTCTCCATCACTTAGGCTGGAGTGCAGTAGTGTGATCATGACTCCCTGCAGCCTCAACCTCCTGGGCTCAAGCGATCCTCCCACCTCAGCCTCCTGAGTAGCTGGGACTACAGATGTATGCTACCACACTCAGCTAATTTTTTAAATTTTTGTAGAGACGGGGTCTGCCTATGTTGCCCAGGCTGGTCTCAAACTCTTGGGATCAAGGGATCCTCCCACCCCAGCCTCCCAAAGTTCTGGGATTACAGATGTGAGCCACCATGCCCAGCCAAATTTATTTCCTATATACCATGCTGTTGCAGTGCGGCATTTCCCTCTTTTTTCGTATATGCCATATGTATTGCCTATATATATCAATGACAGGAATATAGAAAATAATTTCTTAAAACATTCTTAGGCTGGGTGTGGTGGCTCATACTAGTAATCCTAGCACTTTGGGAGGCTGAGGCAGGAGGTCACATGAGGCCAGGAGTTCAAGACCAGCCTGGGCAACACAGAGAGACTTCATGGCTACAAAAAACTAAAAAATATTAGCTGGGCATGGTAGTACATGCCTGTGGTCCGCACTACTTAGGAGGCGGAGACAGGATGATGGCTTGAACCCAAGAGATTAAGGCTGCAATGAACTGATTGTGCCACTGTGCTCTAACCTGGTGACAAAGCAAGACTCATCAAAAGAAAAAAAAAAAAAAAAGCACAAGCTACTCTACTTGGGTCAGATCCAACTTTGCCACTTACTAGCTGTGTGTTTCTCAGCTGCCTCGTATCCAAAAAGGAGATAATAATATAATCTAATTATGAGATTGTTGTGAATAGAATAGTATCACACACCTAATAAGCATTTTATATGTGCTTTTAAAAAGTTTTAAAAGAAAAACAAGGATAAAATTTAGGTAAAAAGAAGAAAAAAATAATAATCAGTGGAGATCTCTCTGAAGAAGTGATATTCATTTTATTATCTAACGAACAAAAAGGAGTTGGATATATAAAATGTGGGGGAGAAGCTTTTCAGGAAAAGGAAATAACACGTGTAAAAGCCAAAGGCAGAAAAGAGCTTGTTGAGTGCAAAGAATAAAAATCAGGGAGGCTGCTGGATGCAGTGGCTCATGCCTGTAATCCCAGTACTCTGGGAGGCAAAGGTGAGAGGATTATGTGAGCTCAG